GAATGACATTAAAATAAAATACTTTCTGAGAGTTCGATTCAAATCCATTCACTGTTTTTCTAACAGAGAAAATCAAATTCATGAATGCACAATTAAATTATCAACTGTCTTTTATAATAATTTGTAAAAATTTTGTAAATGTCATGTATGGTTATAATTATTACACTTTTATAAATCTTGTAATTCTACAAGATTGTAGTATTATTTTAGCATTGTAAATTCAATATAGCAATTTGGTTTGATTTACTCTGATTTGGTTGCATAGTGTATTTTATTTTTTCTAAAAGAGCTTGATCCACAGACTTGCTGATCACTAATCTATGACCTAAACATATAAAATAACCTCTGGTAATATCTCCCATGGTGCAAAGGTGTTGTCTCTTTTCTTTGGACACCAGCACGTTTGATGCTGCTGCACTGTGTCCAGCTGTCTGACAGTTCCACTTTTTCATCACAACCAAACTTAGGTTCCCGTTGATAAACAACATTCTAATCTGAGTTCTCAGAGACTCTCACTCCTTGTACGTGGAAACATCCTGAGCCTGACAGTGAGCCTGCTGGCTGACGTGTAGAACATGATGGAGGTGATGGATCTGTGCTCCATAATGGACATTCCTGGAGTCCAAATGGAGCATTATCAGGCTGCAGATAGAGGCTGGTATCAGCTCTGTGTTTCAGGTTCTGCCATGACCACCGCTCTCACCTCAGCGGGGGCTCTTTGATGAACCCTGTATCACCTCACACAATCTCAGTGATACAAGGCACCACCATCTTGGACGTAGGCGGAGACAGTGTTGGTTTTATGTCCGTATTTGTGTGTGTGTGTTGTGTGTATGAAAGAGAATGAGACAGAGAAACAGACTGAATGATACAGATAAAAAAATAGGAGGTAAAAGTGTGAGCGTGTGTGTTCCATGTTCTTTTAGTTCAGTCTGCGTGGAACGGAAACAGATTGTTGCTTCTCCATTACAGCAGCAGCACTGATGACCCAGATCGACACAACTATTCAACAACGAGGCATCAATGCTATTTCAGCTATAGTTAAACATGACAAAAAAGTAACAAAACAAATAATTTTACATTTGTACATTCATTTTGTTAAACCCATTCAAAAAACAAAAGTATACAGCTCATTGACCACTGCAGTAAAAAAGAAACAAGAGAATGGTAAGTTTTTGAAAGCAATATTTAAAGAAATAAGAAAAAAAATGTGGATTTCAGAAAGAAAAGGGAAAATGACATTTTTGAATACCTCAGCAAGTAGTGGGTGACTTTCAAGATGGCGGCCATGTTTTAAACATTACTTGCTGGGGTGTTTAAACATGTCATTTGCCATTTTCTTTTTAAAATAAAAGGATGTCTAGTGAATTTTGCCTGCCCTCTGGGTTTGACCTTTTAGAACTTGGAAAAAAGTACTTACCAAGAAAATGAAAAAAGATGCATAAACCTTCAGCAAAATACTTTGTAATGGTGTCTTCTGTAGATTGTTCTTAAAGTGGAAAGTTTCAGTCAAGGAGCTTATAGTCTCTAAGACTTTTCATTAGTGAGAAATATAAGAAACTTCATGATAAATGTTCAGGTGAAGACAATGGGGGAAAAAACAGTGAATGAATCAAAGAAAAACTTACATCCAGCTCCTGCTCCCTTGCTCACTGGCACTAAGGTCCAGAGAAGGAGCTGCAAAGTGAAATCTGGTCCGGCCTGGCCTGGTAAAAACCAGCCCCTCGTCCTTCACTTTGCTTCGAACGAGGGAGAAGCGATTCTTGCTGGAGGCGTGGCCTCTGCTGAAATTTAAAATGATTGGACAGGTTGGCCGCGACGTATGCGTGCCAACTCCACTGTGAAGGAGGCTAAGTTAAGACGCTAACTGGAAATCGCGTGCGCTGTAAACAACCATACTGAGAGGAGAAAAGTGCTGAGATGAACGAGACGACTGTAAATGAGAGATGTTGCTTTGTCCGACAAATTTAAGTTGGAAGCCTTATCAACACAGACTGGCTTCATTCACTTCCTCCACTGCCGTTTGCTAAGCTAACTAGCAGAAACTCAACGTCGTTCAAAACTCCTTCTTCTGTTCGCTGATTGGCCCAGGTGAAATAAACTACAAGCAGACACTGCGCAGAAAATCAATGTTCTGTTYTCTGATTGGCCCGGACGAAATGCTCCAGATRAAATCCTTGTCTATGGGAGAAATCCCAGACGGAGCAGTGAAGGGAAACTAGAACTGAGCGGAACTGCGTAGGAAGGCAAGGGCCAGGCTAGGTCCGGCCTGCACTTCCCTCTACATTTCAGCCTCTGAGGAAGTGAGTCCTGCAGACAAAGATACGAGTCTCAAAGGGGCCAAACACMATGCAGCTCAAAGGCTCCTTCCTGCTCCCCTCAAATCACACACTTTCTGATGGGGGAAAAATAAACAAGCCCGCACGTGACAACTTGCCACGGCATTGACAAAATGACTTATTACTCCTTGCCTCACACTTCCCTCTCCCTCCACGAATTCATCAAAGCMCTCCTCGCGCCACTTTAGCCTGCTGTCACCCTTCCATTGCAGTGACCTTGAGACGGCGATGAAGGCTGGATGTTGTTCCCAGAACTGCTGCCTGCAACATGTCGGCGCGACAGACAGACACGGCCAAAATGGCCCTCACTCACACTGACAGCTGGGGGGATATAGGGGGACACCCTCTACATATCCACATCAATCAAAGCAGGATTAGGGTCTCTCTCTCTCTCTCTCTCTCTCTCTCTCTCTCTCTCTCTCTCTAAGTCCTTTTTTTTCTCGTTCACTTAAAGTTGGTAATAAAACAGAGCTGGTCCATAGCAACAGTGCCTTTTTATAGCTTTTTACTCATTTAGTTCAATTCCAAATGGGAGCAACATTTGCAATAAGGACAAAGCAAGTCTAAGAAAATAAAACAAAAAGCTTTTATTTTTAGTGCAAGCAATAATTGTGTCATACACCGAGCTACCCAACAAAGACAATATTTCATCAATTAATAATCCTCTCGTGAATAAAATCTTATTGCAACAAATGCGCACGACCACCTTCTGTGACAAGGAGCCTTTCTGGCAGCAAGATGCTAGAAATAAATGACATGACAATGTGTGACACAAAACTGTCTGTTGTGATCAACCATCTTCTACCAGCAAAAAAAAAACCCCCCCTCCCCCATCTTACAAAAAAAAAAAAAAAAAAAAAAAAAAGCAAACTTGTGACCCATCGAACATTGTTCCTCTGCTTTTCGGTGGAACGGAGAAGCAGGCGATCGATGAATTCTTAATCAAATAAAAACAGCGAGAAGCGATGGGGAGTGGACGGCGATTGTGCCGGCCGTGCTGAATTAACGAAGCACAATTTCTTTCTTTCTTTCTTCCTTCCGCACGATCGGTTTCTGAATGATACGGTTCATCAGTCTTCTTTCACTGTCCTCTTTCCATTCTCAGGCCGGGCAGAGAAAAGCTGAAAAGTCCAATCGCTGTCAAATGCTGGGCACCTTTTTTTTAAAGCTACCTGTTGTCGTGAACGAATGGCCAATCAGGTTAGCTCCATTTTGTTATTGTTGAGGATGGGGGTAAAAGCGCGGCATCCCGGAAGCATGATCCAAATTCTGTCCAGAACKGCCCACCTGGATCACCTGAGCCTCTGCCAGCAGCTAACTCAGGCGGCGCCCAACAAATGTGTTGCTTCACACCAATTTAAGAAATAGTCACACACTTTTTTTCCCTGTCAACTCACAACTCTGCACCTCACACCTACATCTACCCCCCACCGCCCAACATTGGTGGTCATGTCCTGCTCCAAAAAGAAATAGAACATTTGTACCATGTTTTGCTGCTCTGTTAAAAGTACAAATTACTTGTGGAATAGCTGGACACTCCTATAGCAGCCGGATCTTGTAGTATAGACAGCGATATCAAACTCAATGCCATTTGCATACAAATTGCCCAGCTGGTACCTTGTTGTTATGACAACGGCACGCAGCTCTCAGAATTCATTTGGAAGTGAAATATAAAAAGGGGAACAGGCACCGAGGAATGCCGTCATTGATGAAATTCCCTCTGCTTTTACAAGGACAACGTTGCTGACACTCGACACACATGGTGGATCCATTCACTACCTGCARAACACCTACTCGTCACGTACGAGCGGAAATTAAAATCCTGCTCTAATCAGTCGTGAACCCATAATTTCAAACCTTTCGAAACGACTGATACATAAATGTTTGACAATAGCTCAGTCGAGTTATTTAGCTTCTTTATCCTTACGAGTAAGAAGCGGCTTTTATTGAGACCCTTTTCATTGGGATTCTTCCTTCTTCTGGGTTCACCTGTTTTTTTTTTTTTCAAAATTGCATGTAATTCCTTGCAGTGAGTCATGTTAAATCCTCAGAGCCAGAGAGAGGAAGAGGAAGTGAAGTCTGTTGACAGCACAGTGTCCTCTGCTGGCAGAGCGTGGYGGGGGCTTTACACCACCGCCTGTCTGGCTGAACAGATAAAATTTACCTCAAGGGCAAGTGAGCTGATGCTTTTCCATAGTCGCCCTGGCTCAGCTTACTTGGTCAGGTAAACTGCCCTGCGCCTGGGCTCAATCAGCATTCTGTCAACCCAGCATGTTTATTTATTCCAGCAACCCCCCCCCCCAATAGACGTCGGTTTAATCATTGGCCTCAGTATGGCTGTTGAACCACTGTGTCTGCTCAGTTTATCTCCCAGATAGAGAGAGAGAGAAAACAGATCATGGCTCTATTACCTTCAGCTAATCTGCAGGGTGAAGCCTCATATGTGTGGCCATGCACTTTTTCCCTTTATGGCACGTTAATGATTTCTAATAGCTGCCCTGTTACAGATTGTTAGAGACAACTAGTGCAAACTACCTCAACCCAGTCTGAAAACCCTGTCTCAGCATCAACACGGAATGTGTGTGTGTTTGTGTGTGTGTTATATCGTCTACCTCTGGGTGGGAGCAGAAGGAAGGTGACACACTGTGCCTCTCCAGCATATAAATGGAGCCTTCTGCCCGCTGGCGCTACAGCGTGACAGTTTAGTAAGTTTCTTCTCTCCGAAACGTGCGGCTCATCCCAAGGTCGCAGCTCGCCTGCAGCGTAGGTCTTTAACCAAGCAGCATCCAGTTGATTTGTCACTTACCATCCCATTCAACATGGCAACTCGATGGGGACTGTGCGGCGCGGGGAAGATCAGCCAYGACTTCAGCGTGGCCGTGAAGACGCTCCCCCCCGAGGATCATCAGGTGCTCCAGATAGAACAACCTCAGTCACTGCCAAGAACGTCTTGCTTTTATTCTAACAGAGCTGACCTTCTGCTCCCACAGATAGCAGCTATTGCATCACGAAGCACTGAGCGCGCTAAATATTTTGCCAAGAAACACGATATTCCTAAGACTTACGGCAGTTATGAGGACCTGGCCAGGGACTCGGACATTGGTGAGTTGGAAACTGTGATTGCATTGTCAGATATAACGCTGTTTTGGTGTTACTGCTAAATGCTGACAAGTGAAACACCCGTGTCGTCACAGATATTGTATACTTGGGGGTACTGCACACAGAGCACTGGCACGTCGGTCTTCTGTTCCTTAAGGCCGGGAAAAATGTGTTGTGTGAGAAACCCTTTGCTATGAACTCCAGACAGGTGAAAGACCTGGTCGAAGAGGCCAAGAAAAACAATGTCTTCCTCATGGAGGTAAGGTAGATCCTCACTCAGAACACAACCACCTTCTGACAGAACATAAAACACCGAAGGTCTGCCACAAAATGTTATCACAAACTACTTCTCTGGTGAAAGTTTAGTCTGAACTGTGAGAGGTTTCCTTCCCTGTTCCTTCCAGGCCATCTGGTCCCGTTGTTTCCCCGTGCATGCCGAGGTGCGCAGGCAGCTGGCAGAGGAGGCCGTAGGGGAGGTGAAGCTGGTGAAGGCTTACTTTGGCTCCCCTCAGCTCCACGTCCCCCGCTCGGTAGAGAAAGAGCTGGGTGGAGGGGCCCTGCTGGACATAGGCGTGTACTGCCTGCAGTTCGTGCTGATGGTGTTCAACGGCGAGAGGCCGGCGTCCATCCAGGCCACGGGAGTGCTGCTCGACTCGGGTAATGACTCAGCACACATGCAGCAGGTGTGACAGGTACAGTATTATAAACAACACAGCACGGATGGGTGATCACACACCCATTGTTTATCATAAGCAAAAACCGAGAATGACATGTCCTTTGAGTGACATGGGAGAATCTTATAGGAATCATGTGGCCCCTGCTCTTCTTTCAGAAAATCAAAGACTCATTGATATTCAAATGTCATACTAATCCAAATCCCTCTCAGAGAATACAGCAAAACTGGCAGGAAAACAAGTCACAGAAAGAGTTCTCCTTTAAGACCATCACACCATTCATGCGTTACCATGTTCTTACCATCATAGCCAATTTGTGATTGTATGAAAACAGTTGGTTCCTTATTTTTGCATTTATTTCAACATTCTTTTACAAAAAAAACATACTATTAACTGGAACAGCAAAAGTGATAAGAATCAACCAATAATCGTTTTCAATTTACTCTCTAATGCTCGTATTCCTTCTATGTTTGGCAGGAGTGGATGAGTCAGTGGTGGTGGTGATGAAGTTCACCAGGAAGAGGATGGCCCTCTGTGTCTTTTCAATCGCAGCCCGGCTTCCAAACGATGCTGTCATCAGTGGCACCAAGGGCTCTATTAGTGTATGCTGAACTAAACGCTACATACCAAGACTTAACCTAAACCTAAACTGCTTCTGGTCAAACCAAACAGACAAACTCAGGCTAYGTTTGTTGATTGCTTATTCTTCAGGTCCTTGGTCCCATGCACTGCCCCACCAAGCTGGTGGTGAACGGCAAAGAAACCGAGCACCCACTGCCCGAGCCGTGTCTCCCTCTGAATTTCACCAACAGCACTGGGCTTTGCTACGAGGCTGAGGAAGTGAGACGGTGTCTGCTGAAAGGTAGGTCAGGATAAAAGCAAAGGCGTGCTTTTGTCTTCAGAAAGATCACACTGTTTGAACGGCTTGAATCGGCCGTTTCAAAGGAAAGGTGAGTTTAAAGGGAAGACGCTGCGATTTGGTGAAACTGTTGCTCTGTCGCAGCTTCTGGTGAGCGTTCAGATTACCAGTCCTCCACAAAAGCTCTCATCAGATTGTGTCAGAATCGGCACTGCTGTCTGTCCTTGAAACGTCCTCTGCGAAACGTTGCGTTTTACAGGACAGTCGCTTCTGCTTCCACCGTTTATTAGCATACTCTTTCCATTTCTGCTTTTACCCCCACTGTATGCTTCATTATGAATGTACATATTTTATTGGCATGTTGCATGAACCTGTGCCTGCTCCCCCCTCGTGACTGTTGTCCTCCTTTTTGTTTCTGCAGGACTAAAGGAGAGCCCGAGGATGCCTCTGTCAGAATCAGTCTTACTGACGGAGATCATGGATGAAATCAGGAAACAGGTGGGAGTTGTTTTCAGCCAGGACAGACAGTGACATCTCTCCAAAAGCACAGTCCTGGTCCAATGGAAGAGAGGGAGCTGCATCAGACATGGCACAGGGGGGACAAAGTCAGGGCAGARTCGCTGCAGAAAATTAGAACTGGGATTTGCTATTGAAGTAACAATCAGTCAAAAAGGAAAAAAAATCTTGCTTTTGATCTTTTTTACATCTAGACTTGATAGCTCCATTTTGTGCATGATAAACATTGCATACATTTGCAAAAAAAAAAAAAGATCAAATAAAATGAAAAATGTAACAAAATGAATCAAATTGCAAACAAGTGCCTCAACCCAGATCTCACTACAAGTTGTTCGACTGATGAATTCAATGATAATCATTTCATTTTGTGTTTGTTGAAGCTGCATCAAAATGCAGGACGTTTATTATCAAATCTTGTTGATTTCTCATTTACCTGAGTGGCACGGTTAACCGAGGTGTTCTGTCATGTCTGTCCGGCAACTGCAGAAATGCACCAATCGATTCAGAATTAGGTCGCACTGTCTACTTTTCAAGGTTAGGACAGTGAAAGGCTTCTATGAGTCAGCAGAGAGCAAGACTCATTAAAATACTAGCTCCCAACCTTTCGGGCTAACGGGACATTTGGAAATTTAAGGATGCACTTGATGCATTCCATGAATGTGAAATGAAGCATTTTAATATTAGTTTGCCCTTTTTAGTTCACTCGTTTCTTTTTCCACACATCTTGCACCAAATCTGTAGCATTTGCAGCACTATTATGCTGTTTGTACAACTGTGAATGAAAAAATTACAACTGGATGCAACTGACAAATATCAGCTTGAATATCTATGTTTAAAACAAATTAAAGTGTTAAAGCTGTTTTAAAATTGACATCTGACTGCTGATTTAAAACTAACATTACCAGTAAATAAAGATGAGAACACATCGAAAATAGTATAACACAAGTATGAGTTGTGTTGTTAATCACGCCACATAGCTAAAAGGAAAGATCTGCCGCCATCTAGTGGTTAAAATGATGCACTGTTTAATGTGGTACCTGAAGGGTCTGCTGGGCATGGGTGTTCAAACTAAATGCAAGGAGGTTGGGTTTGTTTTTGGTGACATTTGGGGGCAATTTTAAGACAAAACGCCTACATTTGGGGACAACTGGTGCATTTGGGGGCCTAAGTCATGTCCCCGTTTGGTTTAAATGTCATTGGTGGGTTGGGGGTTTGGTTTAGGACCAAGGTGTGAATTGAGTTTAGGTTAGTTTTAGGGTCAGGTAGGTACCTGTGAGGTTAGCCTTAGGGTTTGTGGTCAGGGTTAGGCTGCAGAAATGTAATGGAAGTCAATGGAATGTCCCCAAATGGGTGTGTGTGTGTGTGTGTGTGTGTGTGTGTGTGT